CTCCCCACCCGGCCCCAACTTTGGTGTCAGGGATGCTGAGAGGTCCTGTTAGACCGGTGTCGCAAGGAAGACTCCAAGGGCCTCGCTCTCATGTAAAAACAATGGGGTTTTTATTATTCCGTGTACACGGGGTCCTCCAAACAGGTGGAAACGGAGAACCCTGAGTTGGGACAAGGCTGGTGTTTTTAAGGATGAAAACTGCAAAGCAAGCATTGTTAGTCAGCAGACTTTATCTCTGAGTTTCCTGACATAATTACCTTACTTTAGCACCACAACCGTTCTATTTGTAGAGGGCAACAATGGTTAGCATATCAATTAGGTAAGATTTTACAATTCTTTACAGAAGAGAGCATTGATTAACATATCAATCTTTTACCCAGGGGAAAAGGAAGACACACATTTACAGTTACAGGTATTACTATGATATAAACGAAGCTATTTTTGTGAAGAATGTACAATCTAATACAATCTGATGCAATTAACACAATTTGTGACGGGGCTACCGGATAGGGAAGACCCAGGATGTCAGGAGCTATTACCTCAGGCCTTTGTTTTATGGCCTTTAGGAAGTTAAAACTTAACCTAGTTAGATTTGAAGGGAGAAGGGGAGGGGAAGCACCAGGTGGAACGAGCTTTCTTGGTCTCTTCAGTCCTAGGGCAGGAGACTTAGTCATACAAGAGTCAGAGGTGGAGCCATAGCATGGATCTTGTCAGACTTTGCCCACCAACTCCAGGCCTTGAGCAGTAGTGGGGCCCCACCCCAGATCCCCAGGGCCAGTTCCAGAAAGAGGGTCCCCTGAACAGTTCCCAGCTGTAGGAGTCAAAGTGGTCACCTTCCCTGCACATATTGGTCCCATTGGGGAGACTTAAGAAAAAGTCTCCCAGTCTCACCAAGGGCATCATTGGTCAGAGTCTAGACCTCCCATCCTCCAAGAGTATGGCCTGGGGCTCATGGCTGGCAGGCACCAGAGGCCTTGCCAGGGCTCCCTCGTGTGCAGTGGCAAAGGCAAGAGGGCAGCTGTCCCTGCAGTGACTCAGCTCCTTCTGGCCTCCCCCAGCGGAGCTCAGAGGTACTACAAATGTTCAGGCTGCACAGAAAAGTCTCTGGTGAGGCTTGGTTTCCCTCACTCAAGAGAACTGGTGGCCCAGGAGCAGAAGTATGGCAGGAAGGCATGTTTCAGCTCTGTATAAATAAGAATCCTTCAAGGATTGGGTAATGAGCTTACTCATTGTCTTGGTTACTTTTCTTTCTCGTTGAGACAAAATACCTGATGCCAAAAGCTAGAGAAGGAAAGGTTTATTTCTTATAGGTTGGAGGTTTCGGTCCATACTCAGTTGGCTCCAGGGCAAAATGACATGGCAGAGCAGCCCTTCATGGCCAGCTGCAAACAGCAAGTATGAACCCAGAAAGAAAGAGAAGCCATGCTTTCTTCCCTTCCTTACACTGTACGCTGGCTCTATCCCTAGGTGGGTGTAGCACTCACACCACCAATCTGAGAGCAAGACAACAAACCAATCACAAACACTAGATTTGGTCACATTCATGATTGCATAAAGTGGGGTGGGGGCATCCTGAACATAAACCATCACACTGATCTTAGGAGTATTCAAGCAGATCCCTCAGAGGGTCCAAGAAAGCATAACAGCTACACAGAACTGGATGAGACACTACATAAGCCCTCGCAGCCTCAGGACCCCAGGACCCCATAGTGCAGACGTTGCCATCTCCAGCTTTCCAGGACTCAGGAACTCAGAACCCAAGCTGCTGACAAGGTGACAGTTGAAGTCTTTGGCTCTGCAGAATTTTTGTCCTGGACCTGAGGATCCAGAATGTAAAGGTCGGAAGCTGATTCTGCATGCTCAGGTTTGGGGACTGGAAGCAACCTGGGAAATAAGGAGACCAGCCCACCAAGGTCCAGTTTGCCCACAAGGGTTGCACTAGCCACACACCTGTGTGATATGAGCCTGTGAGGCCAGAACGACCTTGGTGTTCCCAGAGGTCCACTGCCTCCCTACCCAGCAGTGGTGAAGCCATCAGAGACAGCCAGTAGTTCCCCTGGCTGTCTAGTGGGTCCTCTCACTAGTCTAACTGGAAGGTCCTCCACTAGTCTAACAGGGGGTCCTCTCACTAGTCTAACTGGAAGCCCTGACAAGCTCATCAACTTCAAGGCTTAATGGGGCCCCTGCCGAGCTCTACATTAAATTCCTCAGCACTCCTGCTAGAACCTGATGACATTTTAAACACCTCAGCAGTCCCTGAAGAGCCCTACCACCAGCCCTGGGGAAGCCAAATGCTATGTCTCAAGTGCTAGCCAGTGTGGAGGCAGAGACCAGAGCCCCACACAGCTGATCCTGGCTGGGGCATGAAGGCTGTGACCCAGCACACAGGACAGTGGCCCAGCCAGCCTGGGCTGTGGCTGTGGCCCCAGGACCAGAGCTGACCTCCAGGCTACCTGTCCCCCACAAATGCTGGCCCTAGGTACAGACAGAGAGAAGACTTGCCATGCTGATCTGCCTCCTGGATGTCAGGAGGGGCGTCCCGGCCCTGCAGGACCCCTGGCTTCTGGGAATCTGCTTATGTAAGATTCATAGAGAGGTCACCTACGGGTCACAAGGGAAATGCCATTCATGGTGACCCTACAAGGAGCGAGCAGGTGAAGATCTAAGCCTGAGGACCCGGTGGAAGGTGACCTCACAGTGCCTGCTGCAACCCCACATCTCTTGGTGTGGTGATAGGTCCCATGCTGGCCCTGGAGGTGGGCTCATGGAGAATCATGGGGCCGTCAAATGTGATGCCTCAGTAGGAGCTGTCCTGTGCAGTCATGGACAGCCAGACACTTCCTCATCCCTCCAGAGCCTCAGCTGTCAACAAGACAGCTCATGTTACAGAGTCTTAGGACAAGCCCTGGCCCTGATCCCAAGGAACCAGGCTTGGCCACCTGCCCCTGTTGCCCAGCAAGCAGGCAGCAGTGGGGCAAGTGGGAGGGCGCTTTCATCAGGGCTTCTAAACTGGGGACACAGATGGAAAGGCTCCAGGCCTGTCTTCCTGGGCATAGGAGCTTTGAAGTTTACAGAAAAGGGCATGGGGCAAGGGCTATGATTCATGCAGCTGTTGGTGGAGGTGATCCTGTTCAATCGGGGGTCCGGCTGGCTGCCGCCTCAGGACTCGTCTTTCGAGGGTCCCAGGCACATTCTGATGGGTTGAGGGCCATCAGTCACCAGGAGACAACTGCATGTGCAGGGTGGGGGTGGGGGCGTCTGCGAGGCCCTGCTGTCCTGGAGTCCGAGTGTCTGTGTGTCTGTGGGTTTGGGACGGTAGTTGGAGACTCCCAGGCATCACTCCAGGTGTTTGGAACAGGATATTGTAAAAACTGGCAACTGAGTATTCCTGTGAACCCTGCCTCAGCCTTGAAGGAGGTGAGGTGGGGTGGGTATGTTTGGGATTAAGACGCCTCACATTATCAGTCTCTAGCAGACGATCTCAAGCAATTAACAGATTGTGTGCTGGGCCAAGCAGGGATCTGACCCAGAGGGTGAGGCGATGAAAAGACTGATACAAAATGATGGTAGAGATGTCAGCTCTACCCAACTGTTCCCCTAGGGCTGAAGGCCCCACTCCAGTCCCAGTTACACTCACAGGGAGCTGGCAAGGTCAGCTGAGACCCAGCTGGCAAGGCCCTGATGAACTATAGACCCTAAGCAGGTGGAAGAAGAGGTCTGTGAGCACTTTCCTCCCAGCACCAGCCTAACTGCATGGTACACTCATGCCTCTTACTCATCTCCCCAAAGACGCTGTGAGTTTTGTTTTGTTATCTTCAGCATGTTGCATCATGTCTGACATACTGTGTTTGTGAGATGGATGGGTGATGGGTGGATGGATGGATGGTGAATGGTGGATAGATGAATGATAGACGTGATGGGTGGAGAGGTGGAAGCAGAAAGGGAGAGAGGGGGAGGGAAGGGATGCACATGGATAGACGAATGGACACTGGATGTATGCTAAATGGATAGATGAATGACAGAATGAGTAAACGGATGGATAGATGATGGATGAAGTGAGGAAGGGAAGGATAAGAAATGCATGAGGAGGATTGATGAATCACTAATGGATGGATAGTACGTGGACAGGTAAGCAAGTAGATGAATGGAAGGGTAGACAGACAAATGTTTGTTCTGTTGAAAATGGGTAAAGGGCACTGGGAAAGACCCAAGAGACACAAGTGAATCAAACAGAATGCCTGCTTCATGGGAATCAGATGAAGGTTCCAAGGGCAGGACTTGGGGCCTGACCTCCTAGTTGGCAGCTGTGTGACCGTGGTATACTTCCTCAGCTCCCCTAACTGGAGGGGACAGTGCCACGATCCATCTCCTCAGGTTGTTGGGGTTAAATGAGTTACCTGGTGTAAGCTCTTGGCCCAGGGCCCAGGACAGGCATGGGCTCTGGAGCGTTGGCCACAGTCCACAGAGGAGCCGGCATGGAAACAAGGGAACATGGCCCATGGCAGTGGCAAGAAACACAGCAGGAGTGTTTATAAATCAAAGGACAGCAGGAGAGACTGTGCCTGCAGGGCGAGTTAGGCGCCACTCTCCCAGCAGAACTCAGGAGCAGGGTCACAGAGCTGGGACTCTGCAGGGGCTGGGGACATGCTCAGGTTCACTCAGTACCAGTCCAAACTGGTGGAGGACACCAGGGAACTGGGCGGTGTAAACAAGAGATGGTGGTCACACTCCTGGGGCCAGCAGGGTGCCTGTGTGCAGGAGAGTCACGCAGGTCCTCCCGGGCAGGGCACTGGCAGGGTTGGGTTTCAGGCGCTGGCAGGGCCTGGGCGGTGCCCTTTCTGCCTATGTCCTACTCCCCCACCCTTATGGCCCGAGTTGTCCTGCTTCCCCACAATGGCACCGGCCCCAAAATAGCACCCATGTGAGGGCAGATTAGACCCCAGAAAGACAGACAGGAGGGGGAGCATGGCATCAAATAACCACGTCAGGACCCAGCAGGTATAAAACCTGGTCCGGCAGCCTCCACCACCAACTGTCCCCAACCCCACAACCTGCTCTCTCGCTCTCTCTCTCTCTCTTTCTCTCTCTCTCTCTCTCTCTCCTCTGCTCTCAGACACCATGGGACTCAGTGATGGGGAGTGGCAGCTGGTGCTGAACGTCTGGGGCAAGGTGGAAGGGGACCTCGGTGGCCACGGGCAGGAGGTCCTCATCAGGTAAAGGAGCTGGGTCCCCTTACCCACCCTCAGACTCCAGGCATTGGGCTGCCGGGTGGGAACCTGGCCAGGGGAACCAACCAGCTGCAATGGGGAGGCTGCCACCTCCACTTGTCCCCTCTCACCTCCATGTCCAAGAAAGGGAAAGGGTACCTCCAGGTGACCACCCCGGGAGGAAGCAGAGGTCCAAGGAAGGTACCTGGAGCCCACCAGGAGGAGCCCTAGAATTACAGTCAGCATCACGCAGGCATTGTCCAGCTACTTAGTTATTGGATGAGAACAAAAGGAACCAGAGGGGAGCAGGGTCTCCAGAACCACAAACCAGAGAAGGTGCATAAAACCTCACGGCTAAGATGTGGCCTTCAAGGCCGGCAGATCAAGATCTGGAGTCGGCTCTGCAGCCCAGCAGTGTGTGACTTCTGGGAAGGGGGCCTCCTTTCTGACCTTGATGTTCTCTCTGTACAGAAGGGACTCCTGTCACCTACATCAGAGGAGTGAGGGTGAAGACAAATGCCCAGGGGCTGAGGGTGGCTGCCAAGGTGTGGCAAGCTCCTGAAACATTAGTGACAGTCAGAGTGATGCCACCTTCGCACCCTGCCATTGAGAAACAGGGCCTTTTGTGCCCCTGAATGGGACACTCAGGAACTGGATCTCCACCCAGCTCCTCCCACCTGCGGTCAGAAGCAGATCCTGAATACAGAGCTTGGTGATGGGCACACAGCTGGTACAAAGCCCCCACTGGCCCCCACTACCCTCCCAATGGTGACAGTGGTAATGCTGCCCTCTCTTGGCCCTTCCTACCATCCTACTGGATCCTGTCTGCCTTGGGGAGGGAGTGGGTCTCTGTGGTCACAGGAGAGGGTGTCCTTAAGGCTCCTTCAGGAGCCCCCACACACAGACTCATCATCTCCCTTGGGCCCCACCATGAGAGGCATGGCAGGGAGAAGCCAGGGAGGCTACATGTGTTCTCTTGACTCCCTAGCATCTTGAGGTGGACCTGTCCTCTGCCCATGTCTGGCTGCAGGGCTGCACCGGGCCCCATCTCACAGGACAAAACCCAAACCCCAACTTGGCATCAGCCCCAAGCCACCAGCTTCCTGTGTGGCTCTGAGCACTTCATGAAATCTGGATGGAGTGAGGGTCCTTGAGCCCCTCATCCCTCCCTTGCTGGAGGAGAGGGATGGGATAGTGGGCACAGGAGGGACACAAAGCACAGAGTAGGCACCTTGCAGGTGATTGGGGAAAGCCAGCCACTGGCAGTGCCCTGGGATCCTGGGATCCCCTAGGTGGGCAGACGTCACAGTGTCTCCTGCCTTGCAGGTGGGGACAGGAGGGACAGGGAGCACTGCTCTGTCATGTGTCAGGCAGCAAGACATGTGCCCACACACTGCTCCTGCTCACCGAGTGTGGGGTGCAGAGGGGCCTCCCAAGTGGGGGTGGCCTCTCTGCTCCAGGGATCCTGGTAAGGTCACCTCCCCTGGCCCTGATTGTCACTGAGAGGGGGTGACTTACATGACACAAGGCCTCACTCCAAGGGCAGGTTCCCAGAGCTTGGAAGGCTGAGGCAGGTCACATTGCGTCATTTCCAGACACGTGGCTCCTTGGACTATGAAGTTTGGAAGCTGACGCCAGTGGCCAAGACCTCCCCCACTCCAGGAAGAAGAGTCCCCATCAGCCACAGGCTCCTCAAGAGGGTGTCAGTGGTGAAGAAGGTGGGTGGGGCTGAGGAGGAGGCAGCAGACACTCAGGAGCACACTGTATACAGGCCCAGGCCGGCTCAAGTGCACCTTCCAGCCTCTCAAAGTCATCATCATCACTGTCCTGAACAGAGAGGTTGAGGGACTGACCCAAAGTCACACAGCTGCAGTAGGAAGGACACCAGCACCCCACACACATGGCCCTCAGGGTCTCTGCTGCAGAACTTAAAGGGTGCTCAGCAGGGGGCAGAGTCCTCAGGCCTCATTTGGTGTCCAGCTAGGCCTCTGTGCAGGGGATATTGGGTTGGCATTGCTCACTGACTTCCCTGAGACCATCTGGAACACTGGACTGCTAGAGGCAGAACTGGGACAAACTCTGGAGAGGTCCAGGGCCTCCGTACCTGCAGGCTGCAGCTCCCTACCCACTATCCCCTCCCAGGGCTGCACCAGGGATGAGGGCATGATGACCTCCCTGGATAGACTAGCCTGGGCTCCCGGGCTGTACTGCATTAAGTCCCTATGTGGGACTGTGAGTGCAGGGGCCAGTGTCTTCCAGACCAAGGTACTTGGTTCATGTCTCGAGATTCCCAGAGGCCCCAGACGGCTGAATCCCACAGGTCTGGTCCTGTCCTCAGCCCCTCCCATCCATCTCCTCCAGTTCTGACCTTGGCTTCGCCTGTGGTCTTGCACCTGTCAGCTGGAACTCAGGGATCATTGTCACCAGATAATAATAGTCAGGCGCCGGAGACCCTGGGAGGGGAGGTGGCAGAGATACTGGCAGTGACGCAGGCAGCTTGGCTGCAGTCCTGGGGTCATGGCAGAGGACAGGCCAGCCCAGGGGACTTGGAGCCCCACCCTGTGAGCCCCTGCAGGAGCACACACATCTGCAACTGCTTGAGTACTTGTGTCTGTGTCATCTGAGTGTGCAACAGAGACAGATGTAGGCAGTCACTAATAAGATGGAGGCTGGGATTTAAACCTTTTGGGGCCGTTGGACTCCTGCCCATTTCCTACCCTCTCTGGGTTTTTCCCACAAGCTGACGTGTGTCGGCATGTTGAGAACCTATGTGGGACTGTGTTACAAAACCTGCTTTTAACACAGGATGCATGTTTCCCTATGTGTGACATCAGGCAGGGAGCCCTGGATGGTTGGGCCAGAGTGAGAGCATTTCTGCAGGGCAAGAGTGCTGTGCATGGAGGGGGCAGATCTGCCTGTCCCTATGTCCCTCTGTCCCTGGGGTTCTTCATGCCCCACTGTGAGGTCCTCCAGATCCCCACATGACCAGGTACAAGGGCTCCACTGTATCCTCTGGGCCCCTCTCTTGGGCCTCCTAAGGACTGTGGACCTTCCAGTGTTAACTGCCACCTGGCCAGGGCTCCACAGCTAGGGTTCTCCCCAAATTTAGAAGCCATCTCATGCCAATGCCTGGAGATGGCTGCCCAGGTCTTGGGCACAGTCTTCTGGACACTCACAATGCCTGGTCACCAGCAGGGATGAGGATCCCTGCAGCAGGGATAAGGTCCTGGCAGGAAGCTGCACCACAGCCCTAGTAGGACAACACCTCCTCTCAGCCTGGGCTCACATCTGCCTGGGAACAGTGCTCTGCCCCGCACAGTGGGGACCCAGGTCCTGTGCCCTCCATGAAGCCCCCAGCTCAGGTGACGTAGTTGTATAGTTGCACCCCTTGTGCCCTGCTCCTCACAGCAGCAGGAAGAGGCGTGGCAGGGATGCTGATGAGGACCTGGACTGCAGCAGCAATCTGCTACACTCATGCCCAACCATTGTTGATGCCCAAAGCCTGCCCCACTCCCTCCCCTGTGTCTGTCCCTTGAAGGATGATAGGTGCAGAAAGGGCCAGAGGATGGCTACAGTCACAGAACCTACCAGTGGGCCAGCAGGGCAGCAAGACCTGCCTCCTGTGCCCTCTGGCCATTCCCTCTGACCCATGCCCTCTGTGCTGCAGGCTCTTTAAGGCCCATCCTGAGACTCTGGAGAAGTTTGACAAGTTCAAGCACCTGAAAGGCGAGGATGAGATGCGGGCAAGTGAGGACCTGAAGAAGCATGGCAACACCGTGCTCACCGCACTGGGCGGCATCCTCAAGAAGAAGGGGCAGCATGCGGCTGAGCTCGCACCCCTGGCCCAGTCACATGCCACCAAGCACAAGATCCCAGTCAAGTACCTGGAGGTAAGCAGGTCACAGTGTGCCCCTCCCTTCCTCAGTTTCCCCACCTGTGCTGGCCTCAGGTCGAGCTCACTCTGCTTGGGCCTCAGCAGTTCATGGGGAGGTCAGGCACTGCCTTTGACCCTGTCTGCACAGATGTTCAATGAACACCAAGACAGGCTGAGGAGCCCATGTGGAGGCAAGTTGGGGTGGGAAGGTGGCATGCAGGATTCTCATGCAGAAGCAGATAGGGAGAGAGACAGCAGGCTGTGCAGTGCTCTCTGACCCTGGGGTGCAGATGAGGGATACTCACAGGAGCCCAGGGACAGCTCGTGGGTAGTGGTAAGGCTGGGTGGGGTCCAGGCCCAGTGCCCAGTCACCAGGTACATGGACTCTGTGTCCAGCCTCAGAGCTGCATAGTGGTTCAGGGTGGCTATGGGAACTCTAGTCAACTCAGCACCACTCCAAATAGGAAGTGAGAGGACCCTTTGGAGGAGTCCATCTAGTAATTTCACATGCATTGAGTTGGCCAGTCTATGAGCTCATGTATATGCAGAAGCAGGGAGACAATTGTTCTCACTCCAAGCACACTGGTGTTTCATACCAAGGAGGAGAAAGAGTATGGAAGGGGCAGGAGTTCCTCATTTTCTGACTAGAAACAGGGTTCCAAGGATAGAAGCCGCTGGTAGGGCAGGCTGCATCAGATTCCACTGCCTAATCCACAGGCTTAGCTTCCCCACCAAGACTGTCTCCACCTCTCTCAGCCCCACCCAGCACACCTGAAACCCTGCTGTCACACGCATCCTTGGTCCCCAGCACTGTGCAACCCTCCTGCCCTGACTGCCCCCATCCGGGCCCTGTCATGGTGCCTGCCCAGCTGGGTAGTCTTCCATCTCTTCCCCAGCTGTGTGCCAGGTAGGAGGCTCCTCATGCAGAGCCTGGCTTGGGGACTCAGTTCTGGCCCAGCACAGAATGGGTTCTGTGCCTTTTGGGATCTGACCCCTGTGCAAGAGGACTCGGCAGCCACAGATGTCCTGCGGCCTCCACATTCTGTGGCCAGTTGTCCCTCTTGGCACTGGGACAGAGGCCTGGATGAGGGTGGCTGAGTTTTCCTCACCACCTGAAGGCTGGGGCTCTGCCATAGACTCTTGAGGACCAGCAGATGTGGCACCTGGCAGATCCTCAAGCCCTGTGGGTCAGTGACGTCGTGCATAAGGACAGCAGTGCCTGCGCAGACCCCACTCTGGTCTGCTGCATTTGTGATCTTGAAGGCGAAGGCAGCCTGCTGAGACTGAATGTCAGGGGCTGACCCTCCCTGATCTGTCCCTGCCCTCTCCCATCTGTGTTGCTTACCTTTGGAACACAGAGATGATGAGAAATCAGCTCAGACCCAGCTCTGATCCTTGCTCTGGTGGCAGCTGGTCTACTGTCTCTGGGCATAGGTCCAGTCCTGCCATCACCTGCTACATGACCACAGTCTGGCACTTGGTTGTCACCCCTATAAAATGTCACCACTTGGTAAACAGCCTGGTGGTGGTTAGGATCCAGCCCTGTCCACAGTTGAGAAACACACAGCATCTCCATCACCAGTGCAGCAAAGCTTGGCCGGAAGCCCCTTCCTCTCCTCTCCCTCACTCCCACCCTAGTTTCAAACATGGACAGTGTCATACTGCCCCTAAATCAGCATTTTTTAAAGTACTGCTGCTATAACCCAGGGCATTCACATTGAGTTATACTCCAACCCTTTTTTATTTATTTTGAGACAAGGTCTCACTAAGCTGCCCAGGCTGGACTTGAATTTGCCATTCTCCTGTCTCAGCCTCCCAGAGAGCTGGGGAGGCTGGATATGGCCGCCACATCTGGTTCCCATCAGTCCTCACAGCACTGACTGTGCTGTCATTCAGTGCACACAACAGGGAACATTTTCCCTTGAAACCTCCCAACAGTGCAGTTGACACAGTAGTAAAACGGGGCACCACCACCACCCCATGGCAACAGCCAACACCAAGCAGCAAATGCCTCATCTGCAGCCCCAGCACCAGCTCCCCCTGTGAGGCAGGCAATACCACTAGTGCACGGGCAGGGCTCTGACTGTGCTTGTCCTGCCTCAGTGACCTGTGCCTCCTTGTTCTGCAGTTCATCTCAGAGGCCATTATCCAGGTCCTGCAGAGCAAGCACCCCGGGGACTTCGGTGCCGATGCACAGGGCGCCATGAGCAAGGCACTGGAGCTCTTCCGGAATGATATCGCCGCCAAGTACAAGGAACTGGGCTTCCAGGGCTGAGCCTCCCTGGATCCCAGCGAGCCGTGTGGTGTGTGGCAAGTGTTTGCGTGCTTGGAGAGGTGGCAGGGTAGGACCAGCCCCTGTCATCCCATCCCTCTGTCTCCACACTGTCCCACTGCTCTGCCCAGCTCTCCCCATCTAAACCACTCACCTCCTCCCACCTTCCAGCCTTATCTGTTCCCGAATCCTGGCCATTTCCCTCCTGACCAGCATCCTCCCATCCCTCCCTGCCTGAGGAACACGCGTGTGCTATGATGAGTGTTGGGTGACTTGTGGTTTCAATAAAAGGCTCTGCAGCTTCCCGGTGTCTGCCTGCATTGGAACAGGGACACAACCACCTAACCCACCCCAGAAAACAAAGGGAGAAGGCACTGGGAGAGGGTAGGGCCTCCATCCTTTGGCCACCTTTCCATGACATAAGTGGCAGGGCCCAGGATGGGCATGGGCATGTGATGGCCCAGGCCAGTTGCACAGGGCTATAGGACCCAGGGGAGGGGGACAGGTGGAAACACAGGGTCATTGTGGTCACCACAAAGCTAGCAACATGAGAAGGTCACCAGCAAATGGCACAGCTAGGACTCGGACCACAGCCCAGAAGGTGGCTGGGACTCTGGCAGGGACACCACAAACCCGGCAGCCTTGGTGGCCAGCAAGGACCTTCTGGCCCCAGGAAAATGTCAGGTTTTATCACCAACAGTGGCCTTGAAGCTACCACAGCCCTAGGGGCAGAGATGGTCATGAACCTATACAGATCTAGGGCCTTGGTGAGCAGTGGTGGCTGGCAGGAGCCAGGGCAAAAAAAACGTGGGGGCTGGCCAGCCAGATGCCACCATCACTTGGGATCACCTCTGGGAGGCTGTCACGTGTTCAGGACCACATGATCTTGTGCCTTCCCTGAAGGTCACACTGCCGTCTCACCAGTGACTCAGGCCATGTGCCTGTGGAACCCCAGCCTGAGGTGACTATGTCCTGACCCTGAATCCAACTGTTGTAGTTTGTGTCTAGATGTCCCCTTAAAGCCCCATGTAGTCATAGGGGGCAGGCTTCTAGAGTTCATGATTGATTCATGACCCAATGCTGGGATTGTGAGTGTATTACACCCACCTGAGGGTGGGTGGCCTGCATCAATATAAGGGACAGAGAGTTTTATCTCATGCTCCTCCCTTTTTTGCTCTTGCTGCTTCTGCCGTCATCCTGCCTCCATGAACTGTTGCCCCTGTCCCACTCTACCCTGCCCTGGAGCCAGCTGAGTATGGACTGAAACCTCCACAAACTGTGAGCTAAGCAAACCTTTCCTTCCTTAACTTTGGGTGTCAGGTATTTTGTCTCAGTAACAAGGGAAAAGTAACCAAGACACCAGCACATCACAGAGAAGAACCAGCCTTCATCTGTTCCACATTTGTCCAGCTAACACTCTTTTAGCGCAGCAGGGTAAAGAAATTCGGTGGTCTTCATCTGTGATGCAGCCTAGCTTCTGTTCTGAGTCCTTCCTCTTGGTTTATTTCAGGGCCCTCCATCCCAGCTGGGACTTGGTCAATTCTGAGGGCATCTGTATGTGCCATGGGCTAGGCGTGGCCATCCCGTGTTTCCAGGGGCTGCTCACAAGAATGCCCTGACAAAGACCAGGTCCTTGTGCTCAGGGCCCAGGGCTTGGCAGATAGCACTGTGCAGCTGTACAGATTGTGGCTTCATAGAGGAGAGTGTGCTATAGCAAGGCCTACGTGTGGATTTAGGCCATGATGGATACAGGGGGCCTAGAGAGGAGTATGATCATGAAATAGAGCTCCATGTGGCTGCACACATGCACATATGTATGTGTACACACATGTGCATGTGTGTGTGGTGTACGCCCATGTGTTTGCATGTGTATCCTTGGGGAGATGTCCCTTGGAAGACATGGAGAGCATGTGTACCTCTGCCCAACTCCTGCTGTCAGTGTGACAGGCATCCAGCCACATGATCATTTCTTGCAGGCCACACGAACCCCAGGACCACACCACTGGCTTCTGTCACCAGCTATCTGAGGCATGCCAGGACCATGGCTCTGGGGCCGGAGGTGAGCAATACAGAGGATATGAGGTCAGCTCAAGTGATTCCAGTGACAACTAACAAATCATACTGGTGCACCTAAGCTGGCCTAACCAGTTGTCACACAGGCAGCGGGGCCTCAGAAGTGACAGGCTACTGTGACAGACAGGGTCCCAGGCCTCGGAAGCAACAGGCCACTGTGACAGAGAGGGTCCCGGGTCTCTGAAGTGACAGGCCTCTGTGACTGACAGGGTTCTAGGTCTTTGAAGTGACAGGCTGCTATCACTGAAATGACCCCCAGGTCTCAGAAGCAACAGGCCTCTGTGACAGACAGAGTCCTAAGTCTCTGAAGCGACAAGCTACTAAGACTGATAGGGTCCTGGGTGTTGGAAGTAACAGGCCACTGTCACTGACAAGAGTCCCAGGTCTCAGAGGTGTCAGGCCAATGTGACTGACAGAGTTCTGGTCTCAAAGTGACAAGGTGCTGTGACAGAGACTGTGTGCACTCAAACTTCTGCCCCAACTGGTCCCTAGGTTGGACCTTGGGATTTCTATTACCTCACATACACACACACATGCGTACCACACACACTGCACACATGCACATGCACAGTACATAACCACATTTACCTGTGCACGCAGCCAAACACACTACACACGAACAAGTTACACACACAACACATATCACACATGCATATATATGTGCACACACCATTCCTTTTGGGCTACCAGACAAGTGAAAAACATCTCTAAAACAAAAACTATACAACCTTCATCTTTGGTCAGTGACTTCTGTCGTGCTGCAGGGAATCCACACATGAAAACACTGTCTAAACCAGCCTGGCAGAGAAACAGCGCAAGACACATGCCTGTGCTGCCTCACTGGACAACAGGGCTGGTAGGCAGCACCCCTGTTCCCCGAGGGCACTGCTCCCCAACACAGCACACGCAGACCCACACCCTTCACCCAGAGCCTCCTGGTCTCCTAGTTACCTCATGGCCAGGGACAAGGATGACTGTGTGACCCCAGGAATCATGCACCGAATACTCAGAGCTTTGATTCCAGCATCAGGGACACTGCACAGAGACTGTGGGCCCTGCAGGGTGTGGAGCTTGGTGCCCTGTGTCTCCAGGGTTCAAAGAGGGTCCCAGAGAAGCCAGGCAGAGCTCCTCTTCTCATGCCCTCAGTGGGATCCATGTCCCTGTGGGCTTTGGATGCTGAGGGAGAGTTTGGTGATGGTGCTGTAGGGACAAGAGGGCTCAGGACATTCAGAATGAGCCTCACTTTCTTGTGCTGATGCCTCTGGAGCCCCACCAGGTGACCCTCATGGCACCATCATCACCTCTGCATGGACCTGTGCTGGGGACCCACTGGATATGGTGCAGAGCAGGTAGTGACTGATATTAGCAAACTGGCAGAAAGTAAATTGAGAGTCTGTCCTAGGCCTACTCAACTGTGGCAAGAGCCTTAGCTGGCTTAATCCCTAAGCTAACAGCCACTGCTGGAGCCAGCAAACAGTCCTGGTGCCTCAAAGCCAGGTAACAATCACCACTGAAGCCTTTTCCACTTTCATTCCTCTTCCATCTCAGGAGCTGCAGTCAGCAGATAAGCCAGTTCCTAGTTAACCATGATCTGCACTTTTTGCAAAAATCCTTTGAGCCTCAATCCTTGAGCCCTGCCTATGTCAGCAATTCAACCCATCACTTCCTGCAGCCCACCAACACACTCCCAATCAAGCTGTACACTTAATAAAGACCAGGGACACTGTACCTTGAGGTCTTAGTCCTTCTTCATACAGGTCTTCTGACATACCAATTCCCTTTTGCAACTAAGTTATATCTTGTCTGTGTCTTATTGTCATTGTATCCGTGAGCAGGAGATCAGCGGTCCTATGGCAGGGCCCTGACACCCCTGATCAGACTGTAGTGCCCAACTGTGTAATCAAACCATCTCAGACTGTGGAGGCCTTGGCCAAGTGTGACTAGCATTTAGGCAAAAGACCCTGAGTGAGGCAGATGGTAGTACAGGTGGGCCTTGTCCCATCGATCAAAGTGCTAGAGAGAAGAGATTCAAATTTCCTGAGGAAGGAACACTGAGCCTCCAGATGGCCTTTGAGTCCCAGGCAGAAGCAATGACTCCTCCTGGTCTCTACAGACCTTGTCTTGCTGTCCCTGAAACTGTGATAACCAGTCCTTAAATAAACCTTCCATATACATCCCCACGACTCTGTTTCCCACAGGAAACACTGGTTGGCATGATCTTCATACTGTGCATGAATGGAGAAGCTGGCACAAAAGTTTGATCTCAAGCCAGGCGTGATGGCTCATGCCTGTAATCCCAGCACTTGGGAGGCTGAGGCAGGAGGATTATTGAAAGTTGGAGACCTAGGGGCTGGGGATTTAGCTCGGCAGCATAAGCGCCTGCCTTGCAAGCAGGCAGTCATGAGTTCGATCCTGGGTACCGATAAAAACAAAAAAGACAAAAAAAAAAAAAAAAAAAAGAAAAAAGAAAGTTGGAGACCAGCCTGGGCTACAAAGTGAGCTCAAGGCCAGCCTGAACTGCATAGAGAGACCTGTCTCAAAAAGACAAAAAAAGTTTGACCTCGTCCAAGACCACCCCACTGCAAAGGACAGACCGGCAACCAGGTCTCTGCTTGAGGTCACCAGAAAGGAGAGGGGGATGCCAGCATGGAACCCCCCTTCCCTGTCCTCGTCCCTGGCCTCATCCTTGCAGCCCAAGGTAAGACAGGGATGGCTGAAGACTGAAACCAAGCCCAACACTATCTGGGCACGACTGGTCAGAGCTGGTCACTGTGTCTCCCCTATAGCAGCATCCAAGACCATTCCCATGGCCCCAGCAGGACCATGTTCCACAGGCCTGAGTTACACATAGCCTCTCAGCCACTCGGCTGAGGCAGGGAGGAAAAGAGAGAGCAAGAAAGGCAGACAGATGGAGAGAGAGAAGAAAAAGATGGAGAAGAAAGAGACAGGGAAAGAATGGAAGAAACAGGGAGAGGTGGGAAAGAGGGTCCCTGGAAGGCTGGACCCACACCCTCTTCTCTGGGTCACAGGTCCTGCCTCACCCGCCCTGCAGTTCTCACCTCTGCCTGCTCCTGGCAGGGGCAGGGAGAAAGGCTTACCAGGACAGTCTGTCTCCCCTGCAGCCTCCTCTCCTTTTTTTTTTTTTTTTTTTTAGTACCAGGGATCAAACTCATGACCTTGTGCTTGCCAGGCAGGCGCTCATGCTGCTAAGCTAAACTCCTGGCCCTCCTC